TTAAAAGTTTCGTCATGTAGACGATCGTATATGCATGTACATACGATTACATCATTTACTGATTTGGACATTCCCTTTACGTATCCGATATACTACAATGACTTTCAACGCAATATTTTTGGTAAATCACGATCAATGAGGACAACGTAATCGGATAACAAAGGTTATTACTTAAGTGGTCAAAGTGGTTACTACTGGTTACCGATATGACTCAGATCGCCAAAGGGAAGTCAGAATTTGAATTCGATTTGGATTTGATTGACCCATATCGAAGTCTAATTTACAACAGAGAGAGGTCATTGACAACGGTGTGTCGGATTTACCCCGTATGTCCGTGACACATGATTGTATAATGTTACGACGATTATATTCTAACACACGAAAATATTATATACATTAATAGTAATAATTTAATAAATCGAACAATAGGAAAACACACACCAAAATAATGTAGAAATCTTAATTAGTAAAAACATTTAAAACTTTTGAGTTTTGTACTTTATAATTTTTTTGGTACTTTACGTCGATCTATGTAAGCAATTTAATGTGTTTATACAAATTACTGAAATTGACCTCGTACTTCTATAGGACTTTTATCATGTTGGTGTTTCTGCACAATGTCCGTATTTATGTTCCCGGGATAGCCTGAGTAATAACCGTGTGGTTATGTGTCTCGTACTACTATAACATTTTTTTTTTTTTTTGATAATAGATGTCACACACCACACACCCTCCTCATTATTCGTACATATGTGGATTTACCATACTTTTCATTACATTACATGTTACTTGTTAGACGCTTTTATCCAAAGTGACTTACATACTCAATACTGTGGGCAATCCCCACAGGAGCAATTTGGGGTGAAGTGTCTTGCCCAGGGACATGCTGACTGCAGTGGGTTTGAACCTGTCCTCCCCTGATACGAACACCAACGCACTAGTCCACTGCGCCACAGCCTGCATTGGCTCCCTCTTTAGAACCAAGCCTACAGATATTCAAAGCAGTTGTGTTTTTTTAGATCAACATTTTCAGTTGCTTTCTTGCTCCACAGTTGTTGTGCAACCTGTATGTCTGCATCCTAAGGTGGTGCTGTTAGTGGCCAATACACACGTAAGAACAGGTATTGAGCTTTAATTTCCTCATACATTTCCTGAAAAACAGCCTGCACATTCCTGTCTCCTGCACAGACTGTATATATAAAGGTCTTTTGTCAGTTCCCAACAGGCACAATTGTGTCCAAAAATCGAACTGGTTAGGGCAGAGACCTTTATTTAAATACTTAGCCCAGAGCGGGTCTTTGCTCTATGTGAGGGTGCTCCAGATTCACTATTTGTTTTAATTAAACTAGAAGGATTAACAGTGTGGAAGCTGGTTTCAAAACAATAGTCAATTCTGTTAAGACATGGAAAATCGGAGGATATGCTACGCTGCCGGATTAGCTCTTTTCTGACAGCTTGGCTTTTTGGAGTAATTACTTGCCGACTTATTCCAGTGAGCAAATTCTCACTCCCATGGAATTTCCCATTTGTGCTGTAACAAGCAGCTACAACCTATTTAAGCAGAATTAATTATATTGCTGGAATAAGGGATCAGAAATGTAATTGTAAAGAAAGTATTTGATTGGTTCATGACTTTAGAGCAATCGTCAGTCATTACATATTTTAAGTTGACAGCAGAAGAAATTACTCTTCTTAGTGAAGAAAGAACTATGCTTACATTTTCCATTATCAATATTTTGATAGAGCTGAATTTGCTTCAGAAGTTGGTGGAGACTAAAAACAGAGCTGCAATGACTACAAATGTTTAGATTGATTTCATTAGTTGGCCAAAATCCTGACACCAAATGAATAATTAAATATGTTAACATAGCTTCATTTAACTATAGAAGCAGCCACACTGTCTCTAAATGTAGCATAACAGGCATAAATGGGGCGAAGCCTGCAAGCTAGGTCAGGCAGTCAACTCGAGCACCAATGATACATTAACACGTGACGCGCCTCGTCCCTCTTACAACCAACCAAACACATTCTCCTAAATCTGCCGCTCTATTTAAGCTGCAAGGTCTGCCTGCCTCTGCCTCGCTAATGCTGCTTCTAATAAACATATCAAATGTCCCATGAGGAGTATCTGTAAAGTCGATCTCCTCTGATCAGGTATTACAGAGGAGCTGTTGGAGCCCTGCTGGTCTACGACATCACCAAACACCTCACCTATGAGAGCGTGGAGCGCTGGCTAAAGGAGCTGTATGACCACGCTGACCCCCACATTGTGGTCATGCTGGTGGGCAACAAGACTGACCTGGATTCAGAGAGATCTGTGCCCATCGACGAGGCTAAAGACTATGCCGGTAAAAAGTGTTACCTCTGTGATGAAATTCACTGCATTGTATTTTTAGGTTCATTGTTCATAATTAGCTATTGGAAACTAAATGTATGTTGATTCTAGAGAATGTAAATGTGTCTGCTCATCAATCTGTACAAGTTGTCAATGGGACTCAAGTCAAGTTCACATCGGTGACTCTAAATTCCCCTTTTGTAGATTCTTAATTGTAAATAAAGAGAGAGGACCAGTGATGACCCCAAAATCCCCCATTTATTTGAAGATAATATATTAAAAGATCAACAGTGAAATGTTGTGGTTTTGGGACACTAGATAGAAAACGACAATGACTAACTGACACTGCTTATTTGTGCTATCTAGAAAAGAATGGTCTTTTGTATCTGGAGACGTCTGCATTGGAGTCAACTAACGTGGAGGAAGCATTCAACAATGTCCTGCAAGGTAATTTTGCTTCAAGAATTTCACTTTTTCCCACTTAAAAGCTGTTACACACATGTGTGGTTCATGTCCGGATCTGCAGAAGGACAAAGTGAGGCTTATTATTCTACCTTGAATGTATTTCCCTCTCTCTCTTGACCCACCTAAGATATGTAAATGAAGAACTGGATGCACATTTTTTCTCCAATATGCCAGAATAGGGCTCTCCCTATGAGCTTGAATGTAACCTTAGATGAATACCTACATATTCTCAGCTCAAGTAGGTTGGGAGAAGGTCTAGGTCTAGAAGGTTCAAGATGAAATTACATTTGGTGGTCCCATGGCAGCCAGATGAGTCACTGCCTTAGGTAGAAACAATTTGATGTTGGTAATTGATAACTTTTACCAATCAACTTTTGTAGGATCCTGAAGGTCTGGCTTTTTTTTATAGTATTATCATATGACTATCTTTCCTCTCAAAGCTTAGGAACACTGCAGCATATTTCTATTCTAGCCTAATGTAAATGTATAATACCTATACTTTTTCTGCCACAGAGATTCACAGGAAGGTGAGCAGTAAGGAAGTGGTCCGGGGCTCCATCAGTGCTGTGTCCTTGAACAGCTCCGTAAAAGAAAACACAGAGGACAAGAAGCCCTGCTGCAGGAACATCTGACCACAATGTCCTCCAGGAGCCAAGGGGCCTCAGGGCGGGTGACCTTCAGCCACAAACCTGTACAAAATCTCAATGAGAGGCAGGGAAACGGCATCTGCGGGTGCCTAAATGAATGGTCCTGGCTTAAGAGACGGTGCTTTGAAATGACTGATTTACATGTTTTACAGGCTGTATGATGTATTCAAAAGATGATTGTAAATGACAGTATAATGGAGACCAACATCAATCCTTGAAGAGTATCTGCTGACTATTGAGCAAAGGTCAAAAATAAAACACTTAACCATGTTACCTGCAAGATTATATTTGTATATAATCCATGCACAGAATTGGAGAAACCCAAATACATAAAGGTTTTAATGTTAATGACTCATGACTGTTTTATGTTTATTGGTTGGTGACACTATTAGTCTTGGGACGGCGTTATCTCTGTGCCTTTGGTAAAGAATGGTCCAGTGTACTCTCTGCTGAGGTAAATAAGATAGGAAGCGTTGAAGCACCTTTACTTAACATTTAGGGAATTCGACCAGCTCTTATCACTGCTGCCATTTCCAGGTCATTTCAATCCGTCAGGAACCTTCACAAGCAAAAAAAAGGCTTGCTGTCACTGCTGTGTGTGTGCTTGAGCTTATGATTAAGGATGAGAATGTTGAGAAATAAATAATTTATAAAGTCAGCTGGACTACTGTGTGTTATTTGTGTCTGATAATAAGAGAAAGGTGTTTTTCCAGAAGACATTTTGATATGTTTGAATAATAAATAATTATGATGAAGCTGAAATCCATTTTGCTTTAGTCATGATATTAAGCATATTGGCTCACATCACGGTGTAATGAGTTACTGGAAACACTAAAACAGATCAATTGTTAGATTTACAAGTAATGCATGTGCTTTTTTTTTTACTGTAACAATTAAAGTGTATGTTGTAATTGAGGCCCTTAAAATTCAAGTAATTATCAAATACTTACAATTGACTACATGATTTAATTCAAGTGAAATTGTAGTTTTCAATGCTTGGCCATTGTCATGTTCTAATCCAGGCCCTTTTTAAACAGTTGTACATGAAATGCTTGGCTGCAGCAGAGGTTCATAACCTTAAAGGAACTCCATAATGAAGTTTATAAATGCTGTAGACTCCAACATATTAAAATGCAAAGATGTTCAAATTAAAAATGAATTAAGACGCACAGTAGCATCTGCGTTTGACAGATTGGGTCAGGGGTAAGTAACCTTTTCAAGCTTGATATTTATTTTTCCTCTGACTGTGCTGCGATAATTAACTGGCCCAATTAATGTTGATAAACTCTGCCAGAATGTTGATGCATGTATTTAATGAGTGCAAAGTGGGTTTCCTTTCTGCTGCAAATGTTACAGTTAAACTATTTTTATAGGAATGAGTGGATTCATCTGATAAGAGACACAGGGAACAGGAGTTGAACCAATATGATGAGGTCTTTTATCAAACGTAGGATCACTGTGTTATCCATATCTGATATGATAAATACAAATATTCCTCCCTCAGCATAACAACATTAAAAAAGTGTGTACAACTTGCTGTGAAATACTATTTTATTGATAAGTTTACACAGTGACTCATTAAATGCTGCAAGCCTTTGCAGAGAGGTTCCCAATCTACCAAATAGAAAATGTGGGAAATACCGGAAACTGTCCAACAATGTACCATTTTTGGGTAGACTATTTCATATTATTCACTTTAATTCAAAAAGCTATTTCATGCATATATAGTTAATGAATCTGCATCTTACATTCAAACGTAAACAAACACTCAAACGTGTAGTGTATATTGGCTAATAATGTTTAAAGGCACGTCAGTTTAAAATAATAGCATTTGAATCATCCTTACTAATAGTCCAAAACCCGCAGACAATCTGTTAGTATCAAGTAGACTTTAACAAAGAAAAACATAAAATCCTCACAATTGAAAAGGTGGAACCAGGAAATAGTTTGCATGTACTGTAATTGACATGCTTACAGATTAGTGCTTCAAATGTATTTTTCTTAATTTTTAGGCATATTTACGCTGCCAACTTCACACCTCTCTAGCAAATACAGATGAAAACTAGGCTAATGGATGCTTCAGACACATAATATTTATTGGAATGGCTTGCATTAAAATACACAGTCAATAGGATATAAATGGGGTTGGGGATAGGAAAAAGAAAACACAGTTAACAATGTTTTACAACTGGGATCTCTGAACCCCGAAGCAGTAATGCATAGACCAATCTTACAAAGCATGTACACCATCATGTAATCAGTTAAAGCACATATTTATTAGCAATTTATTTCCATTTACACATAACAACAGGCAATGCTTTAAATCCACATTGCATCTGTACTTACAGACTGCAGTGACACGTGTTACAAAGAGATATTTGTGATACCACTGTTTGCCAGATGGGCTTTGCTGCTGTTGCTGCTGCTAATTAACGTGAAGCTTGATATTACCTGTTGAGGCTTGGGGCCGCATACGTCATCCTTGTAAACGAACAGCAGCCAAATGATGACCGACAGCACGAAGAACCAATCACAAAGAAGTTAGTGACAGGTGTCGATCAGCTATTGACCATTAGGAGCGAGCCAGGGGCGGGACTAAGAAACTGACGTTACGTCGCAGCCTCGGTAATGGCAAGTGACACAGGGTGAGGAAGACGAGTAGAAACTTTTTCAGGTACTAGTTGCTGTTGGTTGTTTGTATGCTTGATAACAACAATAGTGTTACGTTCTTGTACTTATACAGTTTTTTAGCGGTTGTGTCGTCTGAGTGAGAGTTAACCGTCTTCCGTGTGAGGCTAACAAACGTTAGAGCCGTGACGGTGGTCTGTCGGTGACGGAGCTGAGATACACCAGAAGTTTGTTCGACTTCGAGTTAAATACGTAGAGGCGCCGAAAGAAAAGAAGCTATGACAAACAGAGAAGATGAATACGACTATCTTTTTAAAGGTGAGTAGCTGTTTTATTTAAAGCTAAGTTAGCTAAACTTCGACAACAAGCATTCACCTGTGAGCTACTGTCATTTGATGCCGAGTAGTTGGATGTGTTTTAACCCGCATGCCTAACAACAAGGTGTAATACGACATAAGACCGAGACACAAAGGCACCTGCTGTTAGCTTTTCCTTTGGCTGAAGACATACATTACGACATTGGCTGAAGACATACATTACGACAGCCGTTGAACCATAGTGTTACAACATAAAGGCAGTTTATAAGTACGCTTATTTATTAAGCAGCATCTGCAGTAGGGTCGTCATCTTGCAGGCCGATTATGCAATCATGTTAGGATGCACTAATGGTCAACAAGGGGGTCATAATCTGTGGCAGGAGACAGAGTCAGGACAGACGAATCAAAGCACCCTCCATCACGACTTTCTTATTGATTGATTGAATGAATTTTGTTTGGTCCATTAGTGTGAGGCCTGAGGACTTCAAGTTATACTTGTTATTATAATCTACATTCAGGTTTTGTCACTTGGACAAACCGTCCTCTTTCTGTCAACAACATCTGCTACCTGCTCCAATTGTTGCACCACCTTAAACAATTAAATATTAAGATTGACAGATATGTTTCATGCGTTTTCTAAGTAACTTTTAGAAAAATACACTTCACAATGGAAACACAAGGCACAACTAACCAACCACACTTTGCTTGCTTGGTCTAAAGTAACTCTAATACTTGTATCAATGTGCTCTAACAAACATTTACAGTCTCTTTTAAAGATATCGGGAAGTTTTAGGTGACTAGATATCTTTTAACAATCTTGATATTATGCATAACCATTCTTCTATAAAGTGTCATATTGTGTAAATTATACTGTAACTGTATACAGTGGGTGGGGGGGCGGTCATTGTTCCCACATTGATGATATCTAGTACAAACAGTTCATAGATGTACCTTGTCACAAGCAAAGGGGAAATGAAGTGCTCTTGTTCTGTTCAAATATAGAACACCAAACAAGCATGTCAAACTGGAATTACCTGTGTGTGTGTGTGGGGTTGTGTGTGTGTATGTGTGGGGTTGTGTGTCGCCACAGAGAAGTTCTGTCCCTGAGCATAGCGAAGATGAGATTTACTCACTCCGTCTCAGATAAAATAACATTACTTCCGGTGACCAAATGTATCTCAATCATGTGCTGCAGTGCAAGGGCACGATAAGGTATTGGCCGCCCTTCAGGCTAATGCTTAAACCAGGAAAGTGCTAACGTTATTGTGAAGTCTCCTTTGTTCCTACAACCAATCTTTTGTCGCTCGCTGTTAGATAGCATGAGTCAAGCTGGGTGAGCTGTTGGTGAGTCACATAAACCTTTCCCTACTGATCGAGACATCAGCGCAGGCACGCATCCCTCTGTCCTGCTGAGGCATTCCTCTTGTCTTTGTTCTGCTCTTGTTCATTTCAGTGACGTGTTTGAGCCTCGATAGTGGGTAAATGTCTTGTTTTGTCAATCCAGATATATCCTGTTAAACATGGTATAAAACAGGAAGTCTCAATACCTGGGAGTCTAAATAAGTCTTCTCTTTATTTCTGCATGAAAAATGACTCCATATGTAATCGCTTTGTTTTTTCAATTATTGTTTCCTTCCTTCTCCCTAATTATTATTTTTAGTTTAAAACCAAATATGTCTACCCAACTCAAGCCATCTGCTATTTTACATAGATATACATAATACATTTTAAATGAATTTTTTAAATGCGGTAAAATTGGAACTTAGAAAATCCTACTTTCATGGATAGTATAGTATTTTAGGATTGCGCGCTCCATCCTGCATTATACACTGCTTTTCTTCAGAATGCATTGAAACATGAAATTGGACCTTAAATGGTTATCTTTGATTTCATCTACAGAGATTCAGGAGATATCTATATTTCAATTAATCCAACTGAACAGACGTTCTTCAACCCATCCTTCAGACAGTTGTAGGTTAGGCCACATCACTGGGTGCAGTTGTACAGAGATGTCATATCTCTTCAGCTGAAGAATTCACACCCAACAATGGGGAGTGAATGGGTGTGAAAGGTAGCCATGATATTACCTGTCTGATGGCAAATTACCTAGAAATCATTTTCGTCCACCGCCCCAAATCTTTTGTCCTTGATGAAATGGAGAATGGCAGTGTTGCCTCTGCAGTCTTATAAGAGAGCCACACTTTTAGTACAGTTCGCCCCCATAGCTTAGGCATATTTACTGATACAGACTGATTATCTCAAAGACTAAATACGCCAGCCCTTAATGTGAACAGGTTTCTACTTGTGCCTGTTACACCATAGTACCACAGAGACAACCTTTAACACATACGTTGCTTTAAGAATAAGAAGTGTTGCTTAAACTCGAAGTGTAGACACAGTGGTCGGTGTGTTAATGCAGTTACAACATTCCATAACAAGTTCCTATTTCATAATAGCCGGGTGGTGAGATGGGGTGTCGCTGGTTCCTTTTGACACACTGACTCACCTGACAGTTGCAGAAGTAGTTATCTGACTAACACTCACCCTAATAATGCCCGTTTAATTAGGCCTACATTTTAGGTGGGGATCCAATAGATGAGTCCACACCATTTAAAGAATACTCCCGTGTACATTGAGTCATTGACCTCTTTCACCCCATGTCAGTAATAACTGCTTGTTAACCAAAGCAAGGTCTTTTTTTTTTAAG